AGCAGGAAAACACATCCTTGAAAATATAGTTCAACTTCATAATAAAATTCGAAACATATTTCGAAATTTTTCAAGAAGTTGTCTATCCTTCACGCCATCTATCATCGAATATAAGAACCCCACGTTCCGAACTCGCATTCAATTGTTTATATCGAGAGCTAGTCTGACGAAACAATTGAAGAGTGGGTACACCAGAGGAATTATAAACATCTCAATTCGAATGTTCCCTGCAATCGGAGCCGGACACATGAAATTTCCGCTCAAATTGGTATGATTATAACACCCCAAAAAATCAACCGATATCAATTCGGTTTCCAGAATTCAGGAGCTCATCCCATTATCTTCAGATTCGTGAATTCGGAAAATAAAATAAAAAGAAAGAAGTCATATTAAACAGGGCCATGAGGCACACTGCAAACTTGCATCGAATTTGATCCCATTTCTTCAAATAACTATTCTTCTGTGACAGGAAAAAAGTTTGACATTTCTTCTCTCTCAACAGGTTATAAAATGTCACATTACATGAAATTACTTTTTGGCTTTTGTTGTGGTGCCAGTTCCGAAAAATCTGGGAAAGAAATGCAAGTTCTATTTATCTTTCATTCCACTCAGCGGTTTCGTAAGTTACTAAACAGCCACTAAGTTCGCATTTTCTCGAAATCAAATCGCAGAATTGGATTCACCGATGATATTTGATAGCTTCAAAATGTTTCCATAGCAAGAAAGATGCCTGCGACGCAGGTTCAATTGACGCTATGAGTACAGGGTGCGCCTCTTAAAATGGAACCCCCCCTTAACTCTTTCGTTTTCGGAGATATGAAAAAATGTTGAATGAAAAAGTTGTTTGAAACGACCCAAACTTTTATTTAGTGAAGTTGTTTCATATACAGGGTCATTCGTTTTTCCAGAAAGGACATCAACTTTGATTTTTTCAATGACACCCTATATGGATGGAGCTTTTTTTTCTGATTCCAAAAATATATATGAGTTGCATATTCGGATAGAGAATAATTGAGTTATTGATGATCAAAGTTGACCAAAATACCGCTTCATGAATTCTCACTTTATATCATAGTTGAACAACGTGGGCTTTGAAAAAATATTCCATGGAAAAGTCTATAACAACTACAAATCATCATGTGGATAGATTTGGTATCACACTATAACAGTGACGTATGCGTAGATGTCGAAATATCATCAAGAGTTCTTGACAACAAAACTTGAATGAATCTTTATAAACAATATTTATTGAATGAACTATATGAGATTGTGAATACACATTGGAGCTATCTACAACAAATTTTCAAAAATACCGCCATTCTGGTCAATGCAGAGTTGACACATTGCTATAAAATTTTGGCGAACCCTTTCGAATAATATTGGATCATTATTCAATAATTGAATTTCTTCTGTTATTTTATTTTTCAAGAAGTCAGTATCTGGAATATCATGTTAATACAGGGTGTTTCGAAATTCGACCGACAACGTTTGACAGGTGATAGCCCTCGTGATTTCATAATCATTGAGATAGGAACATTCGGTCTTCAAGTGTTCAGTTCTCGAGATACAGGGCGTTGAAGTTGAGAAATGAAAATAGTTGTTTCGCAATATCTCAAGAATAATTGAATATAATGCATTCAACTTCGGTATATGGTTTCATCTTTGAATGGGCCATTTTTTGACCTGGAAGCCATTCCGGACATTTTGTCCAGTGGTGCCCTACAGGGGGTTGTGGCATTTTTTCCTTCCATATTTTCTACGCCACTGATTGAATTTCGATTATTTCCAATTCCTCGAATTCATTGTTCAATTTTGTTCAGAAAATGCATCACCTTCAACTGAGCTGAAATAAACAGTTTTCGAGATATTCGACCCAAAATAGAAGATTGCATAGTAATATTTCATCATTTTCAGTAGTAGAAAATTGCAAAAATATTTTTCTGGTGTTGAGTAGATTAGATACTATTCAGATCTCATTCCATAGCTGAACAGAAATAGTTATTCCACACATGAAGAGAAAACAAAAATTTTCGTAATTTTTTACTACCGAGGAAGATGAAAAATTACTATGCATACTTCTATTTTGGGTCAAATATCCCGATAACTGTTCATTTTAGCTCAGTTGAAGGTGATGCATTTTTTCAACATAACTGAACAAACAATTCGAGAAATTGTAAATAATTGAAATTTCATCAGTGGCGTAGAAAATATGGGAGGAAAAGTTATCACAACCCTCTGTAGCGCATCTCTGGATAAAATTCTCGGAATGTCTTTCTGGTCAAGAAATTAATCAGTGGAAGATGAAACCATATACCGAATTTGAATGCATTATATTAAATTATTCTTGAGATATTGCGAAAAAACTATTTAAATTTCTTAACTTCAACGCCCTGTATCTCGAGAACTGAACACTTCAAGACCGTCTGTCCCTATCTCAGTGATTATGAAATCACGAGGGCTATCACCTGTCAAGCGTTGTCGGTCGAATTTCGAAACACAGGAAAAATTCACAAGACGTCAGATCTGGGCTACGGGGCGGGTAAAATATTGGTCCTCGCATTCCAATCCAAGTGTCATAACTCTCATTGAGGTAGTTCGTGACTTCATTCCATTGTGAGGAGGTGCACCATCCTGCTGCCATACCAATTGGTTTCGTCTATTTGAAGGGATTGCTTCATCAAGCAAGTTCTCAATATCACCTTGCAACATATCCAAATATTTTTGCCCCGTAAGACTGCCATCAATGAAGATGGGACCAATTACTTTAGTGTTATAAACACTGCACCAGACATTCACACTTCTCCGGCCAGTGATGCTCATTTCTCCAATTAAACACTTCTGAAGTTGAAAATGAACACTCATCCGTGAATGAAATATTCTTAGTAAAATTTTAACCGCGATTATGTCTTTCAATTATTTCATGACAAAATCGTAAACGATTTAGGTGATCTTGAGGAAACAAATAATTCACTTGCATTACTTTGTATGGCTTCATATGATGCTTCTTCAAAACTCGTCCCACACTTGTCGTGGATATATTGAAGTAATTTGCAGCCATCATTCTTGTCGAACGACTAGGGTCTTCAATGAAATGAAGTAATATATTTTCCTCTGTCTCTTCTATGAGTACCGTTTTTTGCCGATTCCTCTTCATATCACCCAAATCACTATCTCGTCTGAACTTTTCGAAGATCCTCTTGGAGGTATTCAATGATGGAAGTGGACGATCACCAAACCGATGCGCATATTTTCTACGAGCAGCGGTTGCATTTTTCCCGCAAGAAATGTATATTTCCAAAATTTCTTTCATTCAAATTGTAACCCATTTTTTTTTTCTATAGAAATCGAACGTTCTCAAATTCATGATAAACATGGAGCTCAAACAATTTATAAACATTATTTCAAAGCCCACTATGTTCAACATACATTAGATGGATGATATTACCTATGAAGTGAAGATTCATGAAGCGGTATCCTGGTCAACTTTGATCATCAATAACTCAATTATTTTGCATCCGAATATTCAACTCATATATATTTTTGGAATCAGAAAAAAAAGTTCTATCGACTTGTTGGAAAATATATAGGGTGTTCCATTGAAAAAATCAAAGTTGATGTCCTTTCTGGAAAAACGAATGGCCCTGTATGTGAAGCAACTCCACGAAATAAAAGTTTGGGTCGTTTCGAACAACTTTTTGCTTCAACATTTTTTCATATCTCCGAAAACTAAAGAATTAAGGGAGGGTTCCATTTTAAGAGGCGCACCCTGTACAACAGTCAACCAGTTAAAAACCTAAAATTTCACATCCAAAAATTCCACACCTAACATTTTAAACCAATTAAAAGTCTGTATTTTGTATGGTTACCATGGCAAATTTCTAGAAATGTTTGCCTTCTCCTTTGGGGAAGGAGCATGAAATTACACTGGAATGTTTTTTACGTGTATATGTGAAATGACATTAGCTTTCAACTTCAGATTACTTCGAATTCATTCTATATCTTGATTAGTTTCTTGTGACAGAATAACTTTCAGCTAAATGAATTTGTAAAATACTGAGAGATTGAGCTACTTTCTATATTACAATATGGTTTGAGTGAATGGAAAAATGAGACATATATTCTGCCCTTTTTCTTTTCTATTTCCCAAGTAGCTCCTGATTGTCACATACGATTTTATAGGTTAGATTTTCTGTCAAGTCAATTATAGTCGACGAAAAATAGGAATAGGGTATAAACACCCACTTTAATTTGAAGCGATACACTTTTCGCAGAACAACAGTTATAAAAATGAAAAAAAAAACACTTAATAACGACAAAATAGACACATATGGATATACTTATAGGGTTGAAAGTTATGTGCTCAATTTTCCTAGATATATAAAGTTCCGATAGACAGAAGAGGAAACTTCATTCATTCCTATTTCTCCATGATTATTTTGTTTTGTATTCCGTGTGATGATAAAATTTTTTTTTCTTGAATAGTATGTTTTGTAATTGGATGGACCAGCAGGTTTTCTCAGAATGATCTTGAAAACTTCTGCTTGAAAATGTGCCTGAAGTATAGTTTCATTCTAATCTGCTGATAGAAGAAGTGAATTTACCTCACAAATTTTGTTGGTCTTTGGATTAATTTTCCGTCCAGACTGTTTCATAACAGTCCCATAAAAAATGATTGATATTTCCTTCGGAAAATTAAATGAATGAGAATTTCCACAATTCACCACACAACAAGACATTTTCATCCATGGTTTCTTCTCAATAGTTCTGGAATTATATATTCCAATTCCGACGTTCATAAAATGTATTGTAAAATTTATTGTAAAAATACCAAACAGTGAAATCTAAAGAATCCTCTTGACTTGTCGATTTAGTTGCAGTTCCACAGAGGTCCTCAAAATGTGATAAATTTTCGGCAGAAGAGAAACTGGTTTCCCATAGAAAAAATCCATCTCTACATTTTTCAGAAATACATACATACATCCATGGAGCAAAAAACTTACCGTACAAAAAAAGTGTTACCAACCACACACTGCACGTAGCAACCCTCATTATACCGGAGACGGTTTCTCGAATTCCTCACGAGTGCATGTCACGTGTTTTCAGTCTCCCCCGGAAAATCGTCGTCCTTTCCACGACGAGGCAGCGCGCAAACTGGAAAACTGATTTTCCGACTGTCTCGCTGAGAGCGCAAAGTCGCTGCTGGGACGCTATTGGACGGGAAAAATCGCGGCGACCAATGGCAGAGCGGAACGGTGCGCACAGGAAACGATACAGGGTGATGGAAAGAGGAAAAATTCCAAGGAAATTCTGTCGTGGGATACGCGGGGATACGTGCTTGGTTGCCTCTGGATTGGCCCGCCGCTTCAATGTTTCAAAAAATGACAAGGTTCCGCATTGATAAAATTATACGAAGCGACACTCTCTATTTTCCTACGTTACCGCGACATTGGGCGCGAAACAGTGTGCAAAGTAATATAGGAATGTGCGCGAAATAAATACTTCGCGCACTACATTTATGCTATATAAACAGTGTGACCCATTTAAGACCGGAGCACCCTCATAAAATCTATAGTTTTTGACCGATTTCTATTTTATTCGTTTCAGCAGGAGGACTATCTGGAGATCAACGTTTACACAAATTTGCAAAATAGAATTTCAATCTACAGGGCATACTATATTATTTTTTTCAAGTTAAAATTTGCGAAATATCATTAGCAATTTTTTTCAAATAGAAGATCGACCCCACCACTGAATTCAGCATCTTTCAATTAGGTTGAGCGCGAAATTTCATTGAAAATTTTCAATTGGCAACAAAGTTATAACAACATTAATTTTGATGGCTCACCATTCTTTAGGAATATTTCAGACAAATTCTGAGAAGCGGCAACATTGTCAACACAAATGTTGGAAATCATCGAGGTTTCTGGTATACACTTGAATTGATAACACAAATCATTATTGAGTTATAATCTCTAGAATGGTACCCTTTTACGAAAGCGCTGAACGGACATGATCCTTTTTTTGAACTGGCATTTAGCTATAATTGCCAGTTTGAACTGGCATTTAGCTATAATTGCCAGTTTGAACTGGCATTTAGCTATAATTGCCAGTTTGAACTGGCAAGTAGCCAAAATTGCCAGTTTGATCTGGCAATTAGCCATAATTGCCAGTTTGATCTGGCATTTAGCTATAATTGCCAGTTTGAACTGGCATTTAGCTATAATTGCCAGTTTGAAGTGGCAATTAGCCATAATTGACAGTGGCAACTGGCATTTAGCGCTTCCGTACGAAAGGATCTAGTCATGTTATCGCCATCTAGTGACGCCGAAAAACGCGAACGATTATTTCGACCAACGCAAAGGGCGAGTGGACTGATAATGACTTATTGCCATTCAATTACTCCACTGTGTCGTTAGAGCCCTTGTTCAACAAGGACGGAATGATAGTGATATTCCCCGAGAATGAAATTTGCAGCCTGAGCCGTAGGCGAATAATGCTGCAATCATTCGAGTGGGAAATTAGCATTCCCTGCGAGTTATACACCATAACTTTTCTACGGCTGTGACAGATAACAGCGACATTTTTTATTTCTTCGTCTTGTAGCCATCTGATTTCCTATCAAGTAATGCGCATCTATCAGACAGAGCTGTCATTGCTTGAACTGTGACATTACATCTGCGGGGTACTTTCGTACGAAAGCACTAAATGCCAGTTCAAACTGGCAATTATGGCTAAATGCCAGTTCAAACTGGCAATTATGGCTAATTGCCAGTTCAAACTGGCAATCATGGCTAAATGCCAGTTCAAACTGGCACTTATGGCTAATTGCCAGTTCAAACTGGCAATTATAGCTTATAATCTCAGAGAACTTTCTCCAAGCACCACACAATCCACTGCTTCAAATATGCGTTCATTCATTTCATTCATTTTCTTGATTTTCAAATCAAAAATGATATAAGGATCTTTCGAAGCCCGAATATATAAATATAACCTCTGTCATCTATAATATGTCAATTCTCCCATGCGAGGTCATGAAGTTTCTCGTTTTATTTGTAAACGTCATTCTGTTGTCCACACTAGAGTCCCTGTATATACCTTAGACAAGAGTCCGGACACAACTATACTTCTATCCTTTTCTGTTTTCAAAAAATGCATTGATGATTGAATGAAGGAATAAGACATATATATCGAGCTCTGTCTTTTCAATTCCCCTAGTATCAATGATTGTCAGAAACAATTTTGAGGGTTAGATTATTTGTCAAACCGTTCATAGCCGTAGGTAGAAGTGAGAAATAGGGCTATTTTAACTAGGATAACTATTTGATTTTCAAATAATGAACAATATAGGGTGTTCAAATTTCGAATCGATAATTTTTGTAATAAGTTCCTGAGATGGCAATTGCAAATTTTCGTCATCAGATATTTCTTTCCTTCATTAGATATAAGAAAGATAATTTGAGTGTTCTACGTGGTATCACATATATCCAAGAAAATATTGTTGTTTTCTGTTGGGATAATATATGCAAAAATATCAGATATATAATTGTTTCAATATAATTTTAATTGTGTCGGTTTCCCACCTCTTCCTGCAGTCTACATTCACCAGTAAATTTTTTAATTTGATCTGAATTAAAAACACCGTGGACTGATGACATAGCATATTGCAATTTCCCCCTAAATTTTCTAGTTTTGATTTCAAACTTTCAATTTCTCTCCGCATCATCTCATTCTCATTTTCTTTCTCTGCGATCGTATCATTCAGTAATTCCCAATACGATGACGACGGAACTCTTTTTTTGAAGAGATTGACGGCATAGCAGACTCTTTCAATTTGAAATCCATCAGCTTGAAAGAATCTCTATCAGAATGGGCCTAAAATTCATCTTCTTTGTACTGTTTTTACAAGTGAATTCGGATATTTACCTCACATATTGCGGATTTCTTGAAATTAATTTTCCATTCTGGACGTTTCATTACATTCTTCCATGACATTATCTTCAAAGGATCATTCGGAAAATTTAATAACTCGAATCCCTTATCTAATGAATCATCGCAATAATGTACGCAGCAGGACATTGAAATGATTTAAAATGCAAAATTTTGGCGGTCATAAAATTTCAAAGTGACAGTGACAGAAATTCGAAATAATTAAAATAAGTGGGCGAGGCGACTATGGTGTTTCGTCACATTGTCAGGTGGGCGAACCAAATGAAACAAAATATTAAAAACCCCAACGGCTGTCAGTTTTGTGTCCGGACTCTTGTCTAAAGTATATACAGGGACTCTAGTCCACACCGGTACTACAAATAAAACGCAACTTTTATGTCCTGTCTGTCACCAAACAAACTTCATTAACGTCATATGAAAAAATCAACAATGAAACTTTGAAATTCGCTGCGAATAGTCCTCCATATCCAAAATGTCCTTCGAATATTACACAAATTGGTGGATAGCCAGCAAGAAACAATTAGAAAACCTATGGATACGCGACGAAATCTTCAGGAAAAAAGCCAAACCGATCAACGACCGCTGCTTAGCCAACATGCTCATTGGAGGCATGTATGCCAAATACTCGATGCTGGTTCAAGATATAGACGCTTGCCTAGACCAAATGGCCCAACCACAGAAGAGAACGACAGTGAGGAAGCTCATGGATGCTGCCACAATAAGACTCACTGAAATGAGCAACGAACTCAAAAAAATCGATCTCTCCGAGTTTCACTACATAGATGGAAGTCTGATAGAGCTTAAACTAGTGCCTTATGACGTGGAAATACTTCATCCTGCTCTCTTCTTTCCGAGACCAATAGAAGTAGAAGAAATGTGGCAGAAAATCCAGAAAGGTGAACGTATATTCAGTATACCGATACCGGAAGAAGAGACAGCAGTACCGATAGAAGAAGAAAATAAAGAAGAGGTAGAAGCAGTCCCAATTCCCATAGATGTGAAGAAATCCAAAGAAAAGAAGGATAGACGACCAAAGCCCGTAATCGTCGAAGAAGCACCCAAACTATCAGAAGAAGACGAAAAGGAACTGAAACGCAAACAAATCATCACGGAAGCAGTTAAATTAATTCAGATAGCAGAAAGAGCGAGGCAAGAGAGATTATACTTCCACATAAAAAATCTGATACACCATAGGAAAAAAACAGCTATAGCTGCTGCACAAGTACACGGTAACAAAGCTCTTCAAGCAGCTGAAAATACTGAGGACTTGACCGCACCACTGATTAAAATTCAGAGCCTTTGGAGAGGATTCAGCGCTCGGGAACTAATGAAAGCCAAAGAAATAGAGAGACGGTTGTTGATAGGAATGTACGAACCTCCTTGGAAGTCCAAAATCGAAAAAGAAACCTTCGAGAGGAACCTAGAGAAACGTCGAGAATACAGGGATCAACGCATCAAGGAATACATAGACTCTATTGATAAGGAAAAGGCTAGGATTTTGCGAGTCGTGGCACCAGGTTTGATGGAGGATATAGGTGATGAGATCAGAGAATGGTTCCACGTGTGGTACAGAGAAGCGAAGCTATTCGATAAATACCCACCAGAGGAAAAAGGAGGTACCATCCTGGTAGTGAGAGGGGAAACCATGACACCAAAAGAATACTTGGACGAGTACGAGCGGAAGAGGAAAGAAAAAATGAAAGCAGGAGGGGCCGACAAGCTGAAAGAGAAGGAAAAGAAGGAGAAGTTGAAGAAACAGGAGGAGGAGAGGAAAAAAAAGGAAGCTGAGAAAAAGAAGAAGGAAGCAGCAGCCAAAGCAAAGAAGAAAAAGAAGAAAGGAGGAGAATACGAGTTCGAATATATCGAAACTGCTGGAAAACCTGTTTACGAGAAAGGTATCGAAGAACACCAAAATATATGGGATCAGCGGAACGAGATTGAAAATCCTCTCGAGAAACACTACATGGATATGATAACAGAACAAAAATGTTACGAAGTCCAACTTGAAGTCAGATACAAAATCGATGAACTGATGAGACTGGAACTCGAAATGTTAGAGGAGGCTTTAGAGGAAGATAAGATACGCCTCAAGGGAAAAAAAGGCAAACCAAAGAAGAAGAAAAAGAAGCCGAAGAAAAAACGAGGCAAAAAAGGAAAGAAAGATCCTACAGCCAACAGAACCACTGAAGACCTGTTTCAAGAACTATTCGACAACGGAATTATAAGAACATACCCCCACGTGAGGCTGGATGAGTACAAAGGCGACTTCAGCTATAAGAACTGGGACTTGAGAAATCAGGACTTTGATCCTCCAGCCACTCTTCTAGATGTGAGGCAAGCCATAGTGATGAACTGCATAATGCCTATGGGAGTGGAAACTATGAAAAGACCCAAATCAGTGCTGATTGTTGGACCAAGGCAAAGTGGAAAGCATCTTCTGGCTAACGCCATATTCAATGAAACCCATAGTGTTCTCTTCGATCTGTCGCCTGCAATCACTGCTGGAAAGTATCCTGGACCCAAGGGCATGAAGATGTTTCTACATCTAATCAGCAAGATGTCTAGATTATTAGCTCCCTCTATCATTTATTTTGATGGAGCTGAGAAGATATTTTACAAGAAGGTACCAAAGGAGGAAAAAGAAATGGATCCAAAGAGAATAGGGAAGAAGCTTGTCAAAGGTATCATCAAAACAATAACTCCTGCAGATAGAGTACTTGTTTTAGGTGAGTCAATAATAGCTGAGTAATAACTTCATATAGCTAGAAGTCACGCTTTAATCAAATATTCCAAAGATACATTCATACAGTTCAATTTCTGCTCACTGTACTACATAGTCTGATTTTGCATCGCTGATTTTCGCTGATGTTTCTAGGTATAAGTGGAAAACCGTGGACAGGTCAGGCAGGCAAAATGAAGAAAGCCTTCGAAAAAAATATCCTGATCCCCCGTCCTGACTATAACAGCATCTACCTCTACTGGCAAGACCTCCTCATGTCCTATAATGGAATCGACAGAAACTTCAATATCACAGCATTAACCAAGGTCACAACAAACTATCCTTTGCCAGTCTTGAAAACCGTACTGGAGGAGATCATGACGACTAGGAGGATAATCCAGCTCAGGTAATGATACACATGAAAATCATGTCAATCAATAACTGGATTTGGCATAATAAACTGATAGGCATATGAAAGTGATTTCCACTCATGCTCTAGATTCTATATTCAAGAACCTGCCTCACCAGAACTACTTTGCAAATGGAGTTTGAAGGTATCCTGCTGATGGATCAAATGCAATTTGATATAATTCAATGGTTCTATGTTTTGTTTTCGAGACTTCAAGTGAAGTGAAAATAGTATTCCACTAAGAACCCCTCTTTCCATTAAAATAATTGAACTTTTCGCAAAATTGAAGCATTTTTTATAGCCGTCGAATGTTTGTATTATCAGCTTATTGTTATTTTTGTTACCCGCATTATGTTCAATAATATTCACTTTTTCTGTTTCCATTTTGGAGGTAGGTATAACCCCCTGACTGTCCAGGAGATATACGAGAGGTTTATATCGCAGGGGTTGGAGCCTATAACTGATAAGGAGTACAAGAAGTTTTTGCAATGGTACAAGAAGACTCCTCTGGGGAGGGAAAAGGCAGCTTTCAATAAGTGGGCAGATGCCAAGAGAGAAGCTGAGGCAAAGCAAAAGGAAAAGGCGACCAAGAAGAAATAAAACTAGGTCATCACGAATATTGATACTATTATGTATATCAGTTTATCTTTCATATGTTTTTTTATTTAAGCTCATTGAAATCATACTGCCTAGTCATTATGCCATCTTGTGGACCATTTCATCAACATTTCATCAACCTTTTGAGCTCCTCCATGAAAATATATGTACATGCAAATGATGAACATCAATTTGTCATACATCCAGACTATATATTCTCAGCTTATTCCAAGTTTGAAATTATTGTTATAGTATCGGTTCCCCACATTTTCATTCATCATGTTTCCAAAACTGAATCGTAACAATCGTCGAATGAATAATTCAAATCCTTATCAGTTTACGTATGCCCAAAAGAAGCTATGAGAAGTGAGAAGTCAAACCTAACCTAGAGTTCCTTAATGCACTTGTCACTTTTGTTTCGACGTTTTTGTATATTAGATAGATAGATAGATAGATAGATAATTTATTCATTTCTACAGAGTTGTCTTACGCGTCTGAGAAGTAAGTCACATACATACAGTTTAAAATCTAGTATAAACATTCAATAAAAAAAAAATAAGCATAGAAATAAAACATTACCACAGATTAAAAATAATCACTGACTGAGTATGGCTCCATCCTGAGTAAGTAATTCCGTACCGAGCCAAGGAATCTTTTGGAATTTTGAATAGCTTTTATCTCATCCGGAAGATTATTATAAAATTTTATTGCATTGTACAGTGGACTTGTTTCGAAAATACACTTTTTGTGGATTGGGTAACTATAGTTGTTTTTTAGTCTCGTGTTATGTTCATGATTCATTTTGTGACTGCTGAATTGATTTTCATGTGTGGTCTGGAATTTGATAGCCTCATAAATAAACAAGGCTGGTACAGTTAACATGTTGTTTTTTTTAAATATTCCCCGGCATGAGCCATCTATCTTCAAATCGAAAATTATCCTCACTACCTTTTTCTGGCATATAAAAACTTTATCCAAGTCCGCGCAACCTCCCCATGTCCCAATCCCAAATTTCATTCTTGAATAGAAATTTGCATAATAAACTGTGATCAGGGTGCTTTGGTCAACATTGTGTTTCAGCACTCTTATAGCATATGTAATTGAAGACAGTTTATTACACAAATTTTCTACCTGAGTTGTCCATGTCATTTTGTCGTTTATATAGACCCCTAAAAATTTGACAGTGTTGTTACATATGATATTTTGATTGTCAATGTTGATAGATTGTGGCTTTTCAATAATATTGTTGATTCTCAGCAACATACAATCCGTTTTTTCATTGTTGATCATCAACTTATTTTTATTGAAATAATCTTTTGTTCTCCTCATAGTTACTAACGATCCAAAATTGGGTGACCTCCGAACGAAAATGGAGTTAATTCAAGATCATGAGGAATCTAAAATGATTCGCATTGTTCCTAGAATATCCTAAAAAAAGAGTATTACGTTTTTCAATCGCGCAACATATTATTCATCATAATTCACATATATGAACAAAATCATGGGTCCACCCTTCTAAGAGCAGTGCTCCATTGAAGTAACACCCGACTGTTACTTTCCTATAGTGCATAAACAATTTGAAAAAAAAAACTGGTATCAAACCACTGTTTATACCTGACTCTTGAAGGTGACACCCTTCTTTGTAGAGAGGCAATACGAACGCCAAAGTTTATTTTTTCTCTTCGTTAGGGTACCTTAGGTGATTCCATACCCTCACAATCATGAATGTCTACTAATGTTTCGACTGTATAATTGGATGAAGTATTCAGTAAATCGATAAAAGTCGATTTTTTACGAAGCAATGTTGCATGGAGAATAGAACTAGTATTTGAATGACAAATAATACGTTCATGAAGACTTATCTTGGAGATCCCCATATTAAATTAATCGAATATAATTCACAGTTCTGAAGTGAAATGTCCTACAGACGAGTAAGGAATTCTGGAGAATACAGGTTCTTGAATTCTGAGATATCTGGGATGTTTGCATCGTTCCTGAAATATCCTAGAGAATATATTTGAATTAGTTTAATGGTTTGTTGCTTGCTCCGAATAATATTTATTCTATTTATCAGTCTGGGCAGCATCCACTGATGAAGAATTCCAAAATATGGTGTCTCACAACCAAAAATGATATTTTTTCAAGATTTTGAGAAATTTTTTATGATTTGCATTGTTCCTGGAATGTCCTGAAATAAAAAACTCAGATTGATATTATATTTTTCCAATTGCGTAATATATTATTCATTGAAATTTGCCCATATCTGAGAGCACTGCTTCAATAAAATAACCACTGTTGCTTCCCTATAGTGCATGAATGATTTAGAGAAAAAACTGGTATGAAAGGAATTAGGAACGCCGAAGTTGATACACTCCCCTCGTAAGGGTACCTGACGTGACTTCATGCACCCACAATCATGAATGTCGACTAATTTATCGACTGTATGATTGGATGAAATATTTGGTAAATCGATAAATGTCAACTTATTTTTCAGATGATGGATGTTCGAAGAAAAATAGAAGTATGATTCGGATTTGAGGAATACAAGTTGAATATTTGTGAAAACTTATTTTTAAAATATTCATATATGTCACTCATCTGTCTAGAATTGCATTGTTCACAGATTTTGAGTTCCGAAGTGTTTATACATTGTGTGTTCGACTATCAGTCTCAATACAATTGTGTTTTTGGCAATGATGATAGAAATGCAATAAATAAAATTCTATTGGAATAATTCCGCTCCACTCCGGCCGCTTCATGTCTTCATTTACAGCTAGAAACTGTTGTTCTCAGTATGACAAAACTTTCAACTTCCAAAAGTTCATGTCCCTTCTAGCTCACCTATTTTTGAACCAAATTCAAAAAAAAATTCCGCTACAGTAGAAAATACAGCCTGTATTTCATTGCAATTCTATATTCTTCCTGGAGAGCTGTAGCGTGTGTAGGAACTATTGATTATTGGTTAAAACGGCTCAATATCTGTTCCAATTAAATGTCAGTAGATAGTGAATCTAAATTCGAGATGAGGACATAAAAGCCGTTTCGACCGATAATGAATAGTTTCGACACAAACAATTCCTAGAATTGAAGAATCTCGATTTGGAACCACGAAAATTGAAAGTTTATGCCTGTTCCACTTCAAGGTTCAAACTTTGGGATATCATAATTACAGACAAATTTGTCCCCAGCCAAATAACAATCGACTTGTCCGAGCGATTGTCAACTTTATTAACGACTTAGGATATAAGGGGGGTGACAAGCTTCATCTGGAACACACTGTAGATCCGTCTTCCATGACGATACAAGAACATTTAAATAAGGTCTCAGAGGATTTATAGTCGTTTTTTACGGTGAGAGATATACTAATCGGAAATATCCACTTCGCTTTCAGATTTCCCGTTTGGGGAGTTTCAATCGCTTGTCAAGTCGGCCTATGGCATGTAATTGATTCTCGATTTCTTTGATCCACTATAGGATCCCATCTACCCAAATAAATTCTCATTGAGAAAAAGCTTCTTGCTGGTCGAAGCCTGACAGAAAACCAAATGGGCGCTGATTGATTTTGATGGATGATTTCGCTGGTTTCAGACGCTCTCATAATAATAATAAAATGAATTCGAATTCTGAAAAGCTCGATATACAGGGTGATTCATAGTAGGATGCAAAGATTCATTAGAAAATTGAAATATTGCAAATTTGAAACAATATAAAGAAACCTGGAAAAATAATAAATTTCTCCACGACCTTCAATATGGTTATCTTACAAGAGGTCCTTTATTTTTATTCATAACCCTTTTACTATATCAGGCTTTCATGAATATGCATCTGAATTTCTAACATTATCAACTTGTCTGACCAGTTCAAATTCATTGATATTTGCATTATGATTGTGATCTGAAAATATGTTCAGCTACACTCCAGTTATCTTACCTACCATATTTCAAATATGCTAGGTTTTCTATGAATCTTGTTTTGATAGGTCGCATAGTTTGGCCAATATATCCAGTAAACACAGTTGTATTATTTACGTACATATGCCTTCAGTTTGATATAAAGGATGTTCCTTAACTCAATTTTCCCAAATTGACGTCAATGTGCTTCGAATTGTAGATACACAACTCACACAATTTAATTTTCCATGAATTTACAGCGTTCTTCCATAACTTTTTATTTATCAATAATATAACATCTTCGTTACTATGATTATGTTCATTCAATATCTAGAGAATTATGTCAATTTTATATGTATCTATTGACAAAATAATTATGTTCAACAAACGGACGTGACAACGACCAATCTGGTTGCAGTATTTTTCGAGTTTTCACGAACGAACACGAACGATAGATAATCGAGCTGTACTTGCTTGGAGGTCGAAGGGGTTACATCTCAAGATAGGAATGAAATTACTTCAACGTTTTTATGTTTTGTTGTGTTATTGTTCCTTGACCAGTTAGTTGAGCTAGTGCCTTGAGAATAACGGTGTGTTGAATGATATTTTTGATGCATGTTTTCCTACATTCAACAAGAAAACATGGTTCGCAATTTTAGGTAAATGTTTCAATAAGTTTCTATCAGCCAAGACAGAATGTTGAAGAGATTTTGAGATATACAGTTCTATTATTGTTTCATGTCATGGATTTAGATCACCAATATGATATCCATATGCAGCAGTATAATATGAAGATCATATATATGTAAAAAAAAAATTGAACGAATCATTAATAACGAACTCAATATTATACAAAATATCTCATCTGCAGAAATAACTGTAACTGACCCTTACGTCTATACGTATAGAAGTAAGGTTCTGTAGGTGTGATTATATAGATGGCTGCGCCATACAGTGTCTGTCGCGATCTCTTGATCCTTCCTTAGGGCTTTGCCACTAGATGGCTACAACATGACTAGAACTTCATGTTATATCCTGCGTCTTCAAAATGGGTGATATACCCGAAGCGTAGAGTTGTCCCAGTTATCAGCAGACCGAGAGCGGCTGATTAGACCTGGTGGGTCGAAACAGTACTGTCTTGATCCTGCTAACAATTGGGACAACTCTGTTCATCCTGGATCTCTTATTTATGAGATCTGTTTATCATTTTCTATTTATATTCACAGAAATATAATAGTTATCT